GCAGACTGGCTTAGAAAACACAATCCATCAATCTGCTGCCTACAGGAGACACATCTCAATGCTACAGACAAAAATAGGCTGAGAATCAAAGGCTGGAGAAAGGCATACTATGCAAACAGCAATTAAAAAAAATCAGGGGGTGAAATCCTAATCTCAGATAAAATTGAACTCAAAGTGCAAACCATAAGGAGATAAGGAGGGACACTATATAATGCTTAAGGGAACGGTAGACGAAGAACCACTAAGCATTGTAAACATATGTTCCCCGAATAAGAGACCCACTGAATACATCAATCAAACACTCTAAAAGATGAAAAAAGAAATCACAATTATAGTGGGTGACTCCAATACATCGCTCTCTGAGAAAAATAGATCACAAGGAAAGAAACTCAACAAGGACACTAGAGATCTAAATACTACAATTAGACAATTTGACCTGATAGATATTTACAGAGCTTCTCATCCAAAACCGAAAAAAATTTACATTCTTTACAAGCCTGCTCGGCCCATATTTGAAGATAGACCACATGCTGGAGCATAAGGTGAATCGACATAAATTTGAGCACATTGATACCATACCCACCCCTCTCTCTGACTATTGTGCCATAAGGCTGGAAATCAACAAAAGGAAGATGAAGAAAACAAGCGCAAACAATTGGAGGATGACTAAATTATCTATTGCAAACTGAGTGCGTACTGGCACAGATCAGATATAAAATTAGGAAATTTCTAGAAACCAATGAGAATGAGAACACGGCCTACCAAAACTTAAGGGACACAGCAAAGGCAGTCATCAGAGGAAGTTTCATAGCAATACATACACACCTGAAAAAGGAAGAGAGACTCATGTTTGATAATGTTGGCACAAAATTTACAACAACTAGAACAGTCAGCCAGACAATCCCAATAATAGGAGAAAAAAAAAGAAATAATAAAAATCAGGGCTGAGTTTCAGCAGAGGGAAAAGAAAAAAAAAAAACTATGGCATAAATGAATGCTGCTAAAAGTTGATACTTTGAAAGGATAAAAAGAATCAACAGGACCTGGGCTGGCAAACCTAACCAAAGAAAGGAGGGAACAAATTTCAATAGCAAGAATGAGGGATGAAAGAAGGGACATTACAACAGACCCTAGTGAAATCAAAAGGATAATTATACAGTAATACAAAGGATTTTATTCCAATGAATTCAACATCCTGGAACACGGACAAATTCTTGGAAAAACAATCCCTCCATAGACTATCCCCAAAGGATGTCAAGAATCTCAACAGAACCATAGCAAAAGAAGAAATAGACAAAGTTATCAAGGGATTACCAACAACAACAACAAAGAAAACCCAGACCAGATGGTTTCACAGGAGAATTCTACCATGCATTTAGGGAAGAACTAACACCAATCTTACACCAACTCTTCCAGAACATAGGAAAAGAAGGTAAACTACCGAACTCCTTCTATGAAGCTAGTAAAACTCTGATACCTAAACCACACAAGGATACCACAGGAATTGAGAACTACTGACCAATATCCCTAATGACATCAATGCAAAAATCCTTAACAAAATACTGGCCAATAGAATACAAAAGTATATAAAACAAATAATTCACCATGTCCAAGTGGCATTCATACGAGGAATTCAGGGATGAGTCAACATATGAAAAACCATTAGTATCATTCGCCACATTGACATGAAAACTGTAAGAACCACGTGATAATATCAATAGCTGCAGAAAAAGCATTTGACAACATCCAGCACCAATCCCTGATTAAGACACTTGAGAAGATACGAATAGAAGGAAAATTCCTCAAGACAGTACAAGCTATATATGAAAAACCAGCCAACGTGGTAGTCTAGAAAAGACTAACACAATCCCACTGACAAAAGGGACCAGACAAGGATGCCCTTTGTCCCCTCTCTTATTTAATATCATACTGGAAGTTTTAGCTAACAGCATAAGGCAAAGAAAAGACATCAAAGGTATTCGCCTGTGGAAGGAAGAGGTGAAACTATCATTATTTGCAGATCATGATTTTATATATGGAAAACCCCAAAAGCTCCACTAGGGGAGTACTGGAAGCAATAGAGGAGTTTGGCAGAGTGGCAGGATACAAGATCAACAAACAGAAGTCCATCGGACTGTTGTACACATTGGATAAGACCTCAGAAGAGGAGATCAAAAAGGTGGCACCCTTCACAATAGCCCAGCACAAATGGAAATATCTATGGGTATACCTTACCAAAAGAATAAAAGATCTACATGAAGAAAACTACAGATCACTATTACAAGAAACCAAGGGCGACCTCAACAAATGGAAGAATATCCCATGCTCGTGGATTG